TTGGCACATTTTACACTGTAACCGAGGACACAGGTCTAAGCAGAAACCCAAGAAAGGTCTGCCTTGCCTCCCCGGGTCGGCTGGGAGAGTGCTCAGTGGGAGGGATGGGACCATCAGCTGGGGGACTTCTGTTTTGGCTGTCATTAAAGCCTTGGTCTTTGACTGCTTGCGGCTGAACTCGTGGTGGTTGGACACCTGCTAAGCCCAGCAAGGGGGGGCCCTACCTGGACTGCAGAGGACAGGCACCGTCAGCCTTCGGAAGGGACTCCTCTGCTGTTGTTTCTGTTGGCCGTGTGGCTGCTCGCTGGAATGTGTTGCGCTATCTGGACTTTATTGCATTATGCAAGCAATCCGTGTAATTTTAGAATTACAAAAAATATACAGTCCCCATTTCCTCCCATTGATGAAGACCATTTGTGTTTGTGCAAAGGGGACGGTCTGACAGGGAGGAATGCAGAAAGGTGAAAAAGGGAAGGCACGGTACCGGAGGACGTTTCCTTTCAGCTTCTTTTTCAGCTGGTTGAAGCTAGCACTGGACTTGTGCTGAAATTTCAGATAGTCTGCCCCATGAGTAAGGAGGCCTATTGCTCACAAATGCTAAGTAAATACCAAGTAAAGCAGCCAAGATGGTCAGAAAATCCTATTTTGTTCTGTAATGGTTGGGGCATTTAGATGGATGAGAAAATAATGTAAAAATGGCAGAAAGGTGCATGAGGAATCAGAGATCGCAGCTGTATCACACATCCCCTGCTCTCTGAGTAGTGGATTGCAAAGAGCTTCCCCCCGTGTAACCACAGAGTGTCTTCTCTCTTCTTTGTGGAGAGGCTCAGAACAGAGCCTAGCAAGGACTCCTTTAGTTAAAAATAAAAAAGTTGCTATTTCCATGTGACACCAACCAGCACGGGGAGATTGCTGTGCTTACATCTGGGGGCAGGCAGGGAGGGAGCAGCAGTTCCTAAAATTCCCTGGATTATTTTAAACTAGAGTTATATTTCACTTGATTGTTTTTATTTCTATTTAAGGGGCAGGAGAAAGTAAGGGGTGTTACTATAAAAGGAGATTGGACTATAATTCTTCACTTCTGCATTGGTTTTGCTTGGTGTGATGGCACCAGTTTGGTAGAATAACACACATGTAACGAAATGCAACCCTCAGACAAAGCTGTTGACAGGGCACATTTTCACTAGCTCCCTCGCTCCTTCCTTCCTCCATCTCTCCTTCCCTCGCTGTCTCCTTCTGACTTGCCCTTTCTCTGCCCATGAGCTCAGCCAAATGCATTTCAGTTGCGGGAAGCCAGGGGTCAGGTCTGAGCTCTCTCTCCGCCTGCAAGGAGCATCTTAGGAGGCCAAAGCAAATTCCCTTTGGGCTGTCCCAGGGGTCCCTGAAATATTTCCTTCGGTGGCAAATGCAAACAGCTCCCCGGTGCAGAGCTGGCTTCAGGTTTTCCTCGCTCCGTACTTCTGACCTTGCTCTCTGTCCTGGCCTGCGCCTGTCTGCTCTGTGCCCAGGGCCAAAAAAGGAGACCACCCAGGCCAAGGCTGTCGGAGCCAGGCGCTGGGGGCTGAGGCTGTAGCTGCCTGGCCATCCCGAAGCCCGTAGATGTCGAACCCCGAAACCAGAGACAGGGACTCGCTCATCGCTCTGGTCATGAAACGCATTCCTTTGCCAAGCAGGAAATATGCACGGTTCACCCTACAGCTGGGAGAGCTGGTGGTTTGGAATAATATTTGTTCTGAACTCTGTGCCTTTGGGAGTTTGCCAACAACCCGCCGCCGGATCCGGGGCCCAGCAGACACCACCATGATACCAGCGTTTCACAAGGCAAGTCAGCCTCCTGGGGGAGAGCTGCTGCCTTCGGCTCGGTGCGGTGGGAGTTCTGCAGGAGATCGTGCTTCGCGGACTAGGTGCCGGATAGGGAGTGGGGAGCAGACGAGATGCATTTCAGGCTGACTTTTGGATGAAGTCAGCCATGGTGAAATGCATGTCTTGTTTCACTGTTAATGCCAAATACTTCACAAGCATTTACTAGCTGGGCCCTCATACTCAAAGTAAACAAAATTCGGCTTTTTATCCACAGATCACAGTGACTTCTCACTGTGCAGCCGTGTACCCTTCTGAAAACCACCCTGCCTGCTGCAGGCAGGTGTGGTCCGGCCTCAGCATTAGCTCTGTTTAATTTCCCCTCCAGCTTGTCCTGCTGGCAGATGGCAGCTCTAAATGGAAAACCATTTCAGTGTTCCTCAGAGGAGAAGCAGTGTCCTAGGCTGAACTGGCGGGGAAACGAGGCCAGCAGTGCTGCAGTGAGTTACCCGGCTTCATGCAGGTGTCCGAGCAGCGCCCAGGCTCTCTCTTTCCAGAGCCGGGGACCAAACAGCTCTGCACCCATCGTCTTGGTGCTTGGCACACATGGAGTTTGAGAAACTGGTATTTTATTAGCCCCTCCAGAGCAGGAAAAGCTGCCTGACAGTGCAGTTTTGTTGAGCTACAGTGACATCCAGTGGCTGTTCCCGATGGATCTCCTCCGGCTGAGCTTGCCTCGCTGCCAGCATCGCTGCACATCTGGCGTGGGGAAATGCAGGTTTTTCTCAGTGCAGCCAGCAGCTATCTGCTTTGGGAGCTTGGTACTGATCTTAGAAAGCTTCTGCTGGCCCTTAAAGTAGAAGAGAGGGGCTGTATTTTTACCTGCAGATAAATTTAAGATCCTTTAGAATTTGCTTTTTGTATACTCCTCACAGTTCATAAGCTTTTATTGACGCAGCATCGCTGTGCAAGGCGTTCCACAGACAGACAGCAAAAGACTCTGCCGCAAAGAAGCGTCTGCATCATCGCTAGAATTTATCAAAATAAGGGAAGATCCACAGAGGTTTTTTCAACCTTATTGTCTGCTTTTTAATAAAAGTCCTGTCTTGCTAATGTTTAGTTATCACATAACCTAGGCAGGAGAAGGCCCAAGGTGTGGAGGATGGGCGCAGTCATCCCAGCGACTTTCCTGCACTTGGCAGCTGTAGATATTTTCTAGGCACCATTGCAACAAATAGTCATAAAAAGCCGACCAAAGCCTGACGGTGCTGCTGTGCTCCTCATCTGTTAAGGGCCTTTTTCACATTTCTGGAGAAAGTCAGGGAGGGTGAGTGGAGGTGTGCAGCAGAAGCAGGGACTGATGGCTGCGTGGGCTGACAAAGCAATGGCTGGAATGAAAATCAGGGCAGAGCGGGAGGTCCCAATGGTGGGATTCACTGGGATCTACTGGTATCATCAGGGATGCGGTTGGCACAAAGGGTAAGACTGCAGACTGCAATGCACAAGATGATCAGATCTAGGAAATAGCCAGGTCCTCTCTTGTCTTGTCCCCTTAGAACTTGTGAGCAGGTTTAGCACAAAGATAGTCCCTGTGTGTGTGTTTTACACTCTCTGTGTTGTGTTTGCCCATCCCTCCAGGAACCAGTGAAGACCTATTCCAGGACTCTGAGGGGCGGGAGGGATCTGAGCCAATTGAGGAACACCAGTTTTCAGACCTAGAGGAATCTGACGATGATGATGACAATGAAGACGACGAAGACGAGGAGGAAGAGGAGAGCCAAGATGAGCCACCTTTAAAGTTGCCGGAAGGCAAACCTACCACCCTCCCGATGCACTCTTCAGGTGGCTCTCCATCTTCTCAAGAGGAAGGCAGTGAAATAGCATTGTCCTTAGCCCAAGAAACTGTTTCCAGCAGCCAAAAAGTAGGTGAAGGCCAGCAGGCCTCCTCCTCAGGGCTGGAAACAAAGTGGTCAGCAGACAGCAGCGACATTGCTGTGTGCCACAGCTTCTTGAGTCTCCACAGACCAGCTTTGACCTCCACCGAACAATTGGCTTCTGCTGAAAGAGAGTCTGTCACAAGGCCACAGATGTCCTTAGTTATGGACCTGTCAACCTCAAAAGACACCTCCCCAAGAAAAAGGTGGTCTCCGAGCCAGGACTCTGGCAGAGGTGGTGGCAGCAGCAGACCAATGCTAGCGAGAAAGCACCTGTTAACCAAAAACGAAACTTCACCGAAACGGTTTTCACCAACTGGAGAACTGTCTTCTCTAAGGTGCCTGTCTCCAGGGAGAGGGTTGTCTCCTTGCCAGCGCGTCTCTCCCAGGAGGGAGGCATCTCCACTGAGATGTGTGTCACCAAGACTCGAGCTGTCGCCCAGCAGGCATCTTTCCCCCAGAAGGGAGCTGTCCCCAAGAACATACCTTCCACCAGAAGGAGAAGTCTCCCCTGTGAGGCACTCGTCGCCGAGCAGAGAGATGTCATCAGTCAGATATTTATCGCTGAAGAAAGTCTTGTCTCCAGGCTGTTCAGAGTCGTCTAGGTATCCATCCCCTGGGAAAGAGGACTTGCCTGGTACTAGTAAATCAGCAGCAGATGACAAAGTTCAAAGCTCATATCAAACCCAGCATGGGATTTTATCTTCAATGCCTCTACCTCACAGGTTCTTTGGCAAAAACGTACAGCTCTACGAGTCCAAGCTGGTAAGTTCAAGCCCCTCTTGCCTTCTAGTCCCTGCAGTACCTTCTCTGATAAGTTTTTTAATGAAGGTTGCAATGCAGGAGTGCACAGTGACTCCATGACTGATGTCACAGGTAACCCAGAGAAAAGCAATGGTGGACAGCAATGGGTTTTGCACCTATTTTGGTTCTGCCCGTTTCAGCTGAGGAGAAATAAAGTTGTCCCTTCTCCAAGGGTTTATAGACACTGTGACCCAACCTGTCTCCTTCTGAGACAAGCAGTAAGGATGACTGCTTAATAATGACTGGTTGTCACTGAAAGGCTTTTTTTTTTTTTTTCCTGGGAATTTCATACCCATTTCTGAGATTTCACCAGCTCGGGTGGAGCTGTGGCCATTTTTCACTGGTCAGCAACCTGAACCAGATCTGAACTAGCCGTTGCACTCCACTGCCGACTCCTGGGCTACGTACATACACAGCCGACTCGGTTAGATTAACTGCTGAGAGAGGTTTGTTTGGACATCTCTGATTTCATCTCGCTTCTCTCTTCAGCTCAGAGAGGTGTTTCCCACTGTCCAGAAAATTATTTAATCTCTGTGCTGGGCACATCAAATCCTATGGGTAAAGGAAAATGGCATGTTCCTCCCACTGCTACAGGCAAATTAGACGTCGGGTTTGGTGGAACGTTCCCCATTTCTACTGCAGTGCCTGGCTCTCCTGTAATTTTTGCTGAGGAACATGAGATTCAGTTGCTGGAGTTGCTCTGCTCTGAAACTGGTGTGAGGAGAGACTCGAGCCCTTAGGGACTGCTCCTGGGAAGAGAGAGGCCTTTACAGAGCCCCTGGAGAACCTGCCACGGCAGATGCTGACCCAGGTCTTCTCCAGAAAAGCTACGCTGCCCAGCGTGTGTTCCTTCCATGTCTATGACAACGCACCCTCTTTGGTGCTGCCTTCCTTCTGCTTTCCACCATGCGTGTTTGTCTTACCTTCTCAGAGACTATCCTTTGGTTTAGGTCCAAACTTTTCCTTACTTTAATGCTATTTCCCTTTCCTGTCAGTTAACTTCTTGTGGTGAATCTCAGGGCTGTGGAAGCCCCTGTCCTTCAACTCTAAAGCATCTGTGTCAGGAGAACTGCTCACTGCCACTACCTGTACCAAATCCCCTAAGCTCCCTAGTCCGCAGCAGGACTGCTTGCATACCCCTGCTTATCTGCCCATTCTCACCTTTTCACTTACGCTCTCACACATGTACCTTTTTGCTCCGTTTTCCTTTTGCTCCTTTTAATGCACCTAAAGTCACCACTGTTGCCTTTCTCATGTGTCTCCAAAGCAACAATAAAGACCTGAACAGGAAACTTTCCATTTACCTACCAGTCAGACGGACAGCTGGGCTTTTGTTGTGAAAATTATATTCCTGGTACAGCTACAAGAAACAGAAAGATCAGAGGTGGATTTATCAGATCCCAAGCAGAGCTCTCTGCTCAAAACTGGTGCCCTGTGCCTTGCTTAGGAACTGGAGAAGATCTTAGCTTAGCTTCATTGCAAGGCTTTTTGCCAAGTCTCTGCATCAGGCCTGACCATGACCATCTCTCTTCCCACTGGCTCTTGCAGTAGATAATCTCTCCTTCTGGTGGCTGTTGCACCGTTGAGATGATTTGTTTGGGGATTTCCCGGCATCCCTGTAGGGATTCTGTCAAGACTTCATGTGGATAAGTGAGATTCAGCGAGTGTTGGTCTTGTAACTGCTGACCAAGTATACACTATCTTCAGTGGCTCGTGCTTTCTCTCTCTTCTCTTCTCTTTTGCTGCTTTCCTCTGTTGCCTCTTCATAGAGGTCCAGCTCACAGGGTCAGGCACTTCTCCGTAATCCTACAAAGAAATATGCCCTCCAGTGCATCCTCAAATTTTATAGTTAACCCCATCTTAATGGAAAGTTATTTTCAATTTCTGTTGCTTCCTCTTCTTGGGAGTCCTGTTTAGGGGTTTAGTTATAACCTCATCACTAATTAATCCATTTCTGTTTAGCCACATATCTCTCCATGATGTACATTAGGAAACTATGTGAAGCACCGGGAGAGAAAGAGGAAAAGGTAAAATGGTAGGGTCTTAACCCTTAATTTCTACAGACCACACCATGAGGGTGGCGGTGGGGACCACGCTGATGGGTGTGCTTTGTGTCAAACGAGAGTTAATGCTATCTCTCACTTGGTCCAAAACATCCTTGCAATTAGGGGTGTCATCCTGCTTTAAGAAAGTACAGTAAAAATAAATAACATTACTCTGGGCTCTCAGAAACCCCATGTACTGAAAGGGATCCAAAGCAGCTCGGATGGCAGGGAACACTGGCGTCCTCTGTCAGGGTTTCAGAGGAAACTCTGATAATAGGACAAGGGGTAATGGTTGAAACTAAAAGAGGGCAGGTTCAGCCTAGATATAAGGAAGAGATTTTTTACGACGAGGGTGCTGAGACACCAGAGCAGGTTGCCCAGAGAGGTGGTAGATGCCCCAACCCTGGAAACATTCAAGGCCAGGCTGGACGGGGCTCTGGGCAACCCGATCTAGTTGAAGAAGTTCTTGCTCACTGCAGGGGGGTTGGACTAAATGACCTTTAAAAGTCCCTTCCAACCCAAACTATTCTATGATTTTATAATGGTCCAAGCCTGAACCAAAGCCCTGTATCTGTGCCCCGACAGACCGTGGGCCTATTTGTACCCAGAAGGCACATGTGGGTTGTGTTGCTCCATCCCTTTAAGGTTTGGGGCTCCAAATCTTCATCCGTTGATTGATCTCCCTCAAATTAGAATAAAACGTTAACAAAACCATTCCTTATGGGGAGCATTAATGATGCTAATGCTGTTAACTGGTACGTCGCACTGATTCAGCTGTGTCTTTTCCCTCTCTGGTGCAGAAGATAGAACCACGAAGCCCAACATGCTCACCTGGTGTCACACAGCCTGTCTGCTCCAGACCCTTGCAGGCACCTCATGAAATTCATGTCCATGGTCCCAGCCGAGGGGAGGAGAATGTCTTCAGCCATCTCCCGTTGCATTCGCAGCAGCTCGCGAGGACCCCGTACCCTATGATTCCCATTGGGGGCATCCAGATGGTCCAGGCGAGGCCGAGCACCCATCCCAGCTTGGTGCCCAGTTCGGTCGTGTCCCTGCAAGCGGGATACTTTGCCTCGGGTGGCAGCAGCTTCGCGGAGTTCAGCCGGGCTCCCAAGAGGGACGAGGAGCCGCAGGTCCCGCGGGAGCCGTCGTCAGCATCCGTCTCCCCGGTGGCGAAGGTTTCTAAATACACGCTGTCCCCCGAGCTTACGAGCAGTGGTTACTTAGAAGAGAAAATGAGGACTAGTGAGCTTCAGCAAAAGACAGACCAGGAGGAATACAGGGTAAAAATGTTAGCTGAGTCCAGCCACGCAGAGCAGGCAGGCTGCTCGGCATCCCCAGCCAGCCCCAGCCCAACCGACGAGCACTCTCCAAAGCCTTCGACGAGTGGGGAAGAACCCTTGAAAAAACCGGGCAAGAAGCAATCTGGCAGCTCGAGCACTTCTTTCGAATCATCCTGCACTTTCATCTCAGATCTCCCCTCCCAGCCGTTGGACCGAAGCAGCAGCACCGGCTGCCTCTCCGAGCCCTCATCGAGCCATTCGCACGCCCAGCCCTTCTCCGTCCGGAGGAGAAACCTCTCCGGAGAGCCCAGTCGCCAAGGGCGAACCTCCAGGAAGAGCAGTCCACACCTAGAGCACGCAGATTTAGGTCAAACTCAAAAAAAGGTGGATGAAAACACGGGAAGTACTTAAGCCTCCACCATCTGTTCCACCTTTAGGCTTCCTATGTAAAATCAACAGACATTTTCAACACTATTTCCTTTAGTATAATCATCGCTATAAGAAGCACTCTAGTGAATGACCAAACCCATGGAAGATTCCTGGTTTTCTTTGTCCCAGTCTGGTATTATCTCCACATGTATGCAGTTACTTGTGCCTTTTTCTATACCTTTTGTTGCTTGAAATGTACAAAACTGTTTGAGGCTGTGAATATTTTTTTAGAGTTTTTTGGAAAGGGGTTTGTTAGACCTTGTCTTTTTTGCCATTAAGGTGTGCGTAATTATGGGCCTGAGAGATGCAGAAAGGAAAGGGTTAAGCATTTTAAGAGGAAGAAGATGCACTGAAAACAAAAACAAAACAGAAAAACTTTTTTATATTGATTAAATGATTAAAAAAAAGAAAACAAAACCAAACCCTTGCTCCTGTGTACAGAAGTTTATGATTTGTATTTATTACATGCTTTATTTAATTCTCGCAAAGTGCTTTTTTTTTTTCCTCGCATCCCTCTGATTGCCTATGGTTGTGCTTTAAACCGTTGAGACTGCTTTACATTTGAAAAACATGTTTACCCTGAACTTGTAAATGAAACTAGCACTTCCTTGAGTAGGGGGAGGCTCGTTGGCGAGAGAAATTGTCCCTCGAGAGAAAATGAATCTTGAGCATCCCTCCCTCCTGCAGAACCCATCAAAGCACTTTTCTGAAATGGGACAAAACCAAGTTTCTTCTTCAAAGATTTCACTGCAAGGACATAGGAATGTACCGAATGTAGACCCCGTGCCAGGAGCGGTGTCTCTCGCTGGACGAGCCGGCCTCCTGCTTGCTTTAACCCTTCCATCCCGCGGCCGCTCTGCCATGCCCCCCGCATCCCCCCGGCAAAGTCGTGCCTGTGCCTGAGAGCCCCTCTTCCCTGGGCTTTGGAAGCCCTCGGGAAACCCCCTCCCTCGGTGTCACGGTGGGAGCCGAGTCAGCCTTGCGACCGTTTTTCCTCCGTGATTTTTTAGCTGGGGACAAGCTCCCTCCATCCCCTCCCCGCTTGGCCCTGGCTGGTTTGGCTTCGCGGAGCTCTAGGGATGCAGGAGTGGGTTGTGCTCCGCGCGTTCGCACGCCTGGGGCTCTGTAACTTCACGAGTGACTTTGTGTCTTATTTTAATTTTATTTATTTATTTAAGCAGAGCGCCGCAAGCGCAGCCCTGAATTGTGCGGACGGGCCTTTTTTTTTTTTTTGGCGGTTTGGACGAAAAGCGTTGCGATGCCGAGCGGTTCGTGTTTGCAATCAGCTTGCCATGCATGCGCGGGAACTTTTTCCAGAGCAAATTTTTAACGACGACCACCCGTAGCAGAGCAATGGCCTCTACTGCCAATAGATACGATACCAAATACGGAGAGACCAGATGGAGCCGTTCCTCTCTGTCACGCTAACACACTTTTTAACGTACCGGTGTTCGATGCAGGTTTGCCCGAGCAGACAGCAGGCTCTTTACTACTTCAGAGGGTTTTCTGGTCTATGGAATCTGTACAAACCTCTTTTCTTTTTTTTTTTTTTTATTTTAACAATGACAACAACAAAAAAGATATAAATATTTAACCAGTGGACCAGTTCTTTTTTCTTGTCAGAGCTGTTCCAGGTTATCGGGTATGTAATACACTTTTTTAAAAAAAAATAAAAAAATAAATTAAAAAAAAAAACAAAATTAAAAGAAATCAAATAATACCCTGAATGAGAACATATTTCCTTGCCAGACTTGATGAGCTATGAACTGTTCCCGTTTCACGGGCAAATAATATAATTTTTTTAATAATCTTCTGCGATTTTTTTTTTTAATTTTTTTTGCTTTTCTTGTAAAGGGAATTAAGTACAAAAGAAGATATCATGGAAATAACATTATTAAGGCTGTGACACTGACCAAAACAACATCCAGAACCCATTTATACCTTAATTAGCACTTTTATCAAGTCTCCCTTGTTCCCATCTCCCCCTCTTTGGCCCCAAGCCTGGAAGCTGGTCCTGCTTTCAAACCCAGGCAGACCCCCTGGCAGGAGCAGGGCGGCGAGTTCCGCTCAGCGGAGCTGCTCCGCCGGGGCGGCGGTGAGCATCCCTGGGACCGTCCGCCGGGTCTGTGACACTTTTGACTTGCCTGCCTC